GACCTCGGTGATGAGTGTCTGTGTTTTCCTTATATTTACAGTCTATGGTGTTTTAATGCTGAAGCATTACGGGTGTTGTTATTGCTAAGTATTACTTTGTGATGGTGCCCTTTACCCCATGTATTAAGGTGCGTTACAATAAGACATCCCCAAGCTGTGTACGCCTTCAGATCTTTTTTCACTTTCAGATCTTTTTTTCTCGCTTTCAGATCTTTTTTTCTTTCGCTTTCAAACTTGCTTGGTGCTAGTGGAGCCTCGTGGAGCCTCGCAGCGACAGAGGCACCCTCCGCAAGATGAGGCCCCCTCCGCAAGGTGAGGCCCCACGCAGTCTGCATGATCGGCCTGTAGGGAGGGACGGCCCTGGTAATAGCTCACTTCAGGCCGTGATATATGCTCATTATATCACAGCGGGGTTGAACCACGCCCCTTAGCTGTGATATAATGAGCATATACCACGGCCTGTCGTGAGCTATTGCTTAAATATATGCCGTTAAAAACTGCAATATATACCTGGCTGCTTAATCCTCAGAACTGTTACAGGATGTGTATTTTGTAAATTGTATAACTTTTTATTTTATTATATAACTTTTTTTTTACTTTAATACTTTTTTATGCATATATCTGTAACATAGGCTATGTAACATTAAGCTGTCAGTGGCTCTTTTTCTGCTGTAACAACGTACATTTCCCCTCTGTGGGACTATAAAGGTATTCTGATTCTGATCTGATTCTGACGATGCTCAACAGCTCGCTTAACAGAACTTTGACGCTGGTATCAGTTTTGTTTACCACCAATCACGGGAGTATTGTGTATAGAATGTGTTGAGTTATATTTCTCGCGCTACCTAATATCCATGAAGGCAACATGACAGAGGGAGGCCTGTCACTCAGGATGCCAAACTACTCTTTGGTAAGCCCCGCCCCCCAAGCAACATTAGGGCCAAACATTTGAAAGCGAAAAAAAAAGATCTGAAAGTGAAAAAAGATCTGAAAGTGAAAAAAGATCTGAAAGTGAAAAAAGATCTGAAAGTGAAAAAAGATCTGAAAGCGAAAAAAAAATTGAAACCTGAAAAAACAAGATTTGAAAAAAAACAAAACAAGGATTCAAATATCAAAATATGTATAAAAGTGAAATATGAAAATAAATATTTTATTCAAAAGAATTGCTGAACTGAATCAAAAATAATATTCAACCTGAAAAATTATTTCAAATACTTATTTTTATTTTGAATACATCATTGTATTTTTCGAAGTTCAGGATAAAAACTTGAACTTTCAAATAAATTGTATTTTTTTGAATGATCAAAACGTATGACCCTGATATAGCTCCATAGTAAAGTCATTTCATTGTCACCGTAGAGGCATTACACCCAGATGGAAAAGTGCCCATAACATTGACCAACCCAATTTTTGTCTGGAGGTCTACCACTAAAATCCTGATGGTGCCAAATATCTGGTTTCCTAGTGTATCTAACCTATTTAACCACAAGGCAGCCTGGGATTGTCCTGAAAATATCAATCCAAAAACTGATGACAGCCACAATCATTCTTTAGCCCTCCCTGTGAAATTGAGGAGGAGGGAGTCATGATTTGCATGTAAATGATTTTGACATATGAGCTCTTTGGTTGATTTTCACGCCCCCCCCCCCCCTCTCTGTACAGTCACTTCACTGTTGTGAACCTCTTTAAACCTCCTATATATAGCCATCCATCTTTGTGTCACAATCAAAAGACAAAGGCAGTCAAATACACTAGGGCTGCAACCATTAGTCGTCTAAAAGTAATCCCCAACTAAATGTTTTCACAATTGATTTATGGTAAATTAATTTTTCATTGAAAATGTAATTAAAAAGCTTTAGCTTCTCTAATATCGACAATTACTGATTTCGTTTGGTGAATATCATATTTAAGTGAATATATTTGAATTCTGTTGAAACAAAACATTTGAAGTCAACACCTTGGACTTTGATAAACTGGGAAGCACACTTTTCATCATTGTCTGACTTTGTACACCAAACAATTCATTTCGAAAATGACCAGATAAATCGATAATTGACATAGGCCTACTCAAGTTGCTCCCCTAATTACAACTAAATTGTTCTCGTAATGCAACTTTGAAAGTTATGACATTTGCGTTTTTGTTTTACCACAGAATGTTCCCATGACAACTCCTAATGAAGTTTCAGATCTTTGGTTCGATGAGAAAAACTACTTAAATGCAACTCACCCTTGCATATTTAGAGGAGTAAGGGTCCTCAAACAGAGCCCAGACGTGTCTCTGCCACCGGCTCCACAGGCTTCCACTCCGGGCATCGTGAGTGTCTCCCTGCGCCAGCCTCCTTGTCATTTCATCCACATCCTCCTCGCCATGCTCCAGATCTGGCTCCGCGTCATCGTTCACCAGGTCCAACAGGCCCCCCCCCGCCGAAACTATCAAGGGCCTCCTCTGCCTCCCGGTGCTGGCGATAGTTCATCCAGCAGCATGGCTCCACGTCTGTCTCATCAATGCCCCAGAAAGCCAGCTCCTCCTCATAGAGGGGCCCGCAGACATCAGCCGGGCAGTGCAGTTTACCTGTCCTGTAATAATTAAGGATATGTGCAAACACGCCAGGGTGGCGGTCGAAGAAAAATTCGTCGATCTTGGCATCATAGTCAAAGTGGTTAGGGGCATCAGGCTCGGCTAACTGGGATAAGGTCGTGCCAGGTAGGGTACGCAGGGTGCTGCGGTATGTCTGATGTCTGATCCCTCCCACGTTTATCACAATGCGATCCTTGTCGTCGCTCAGGCCCATTGCGTCCCTTAGGCATTTCTCCAATAAGTTCCCTTCATCGCAAAGGTAAGTCTAGGAGTGAAACCATGCACCACAGGGATCTCACTGATGGAAACTATTACACAAATGAGGCTCAGAACAACCTGTCGTTTCTCACCAACTAATAAAGAAATCGTGGCTGCTTGACACGCACCTGGCTACATCCACTCTAAACCCTGTGGTTTATACAGGTCTGTCATGCAACTGCAGACGCTTATAGCTGCCGGACTCACTGGAGGATATGAAATCCAAAAATCATTGCAGCCAACGGCAGTACCCTAAGAATGGACGTCACATAGTCTGTAAATCCAAGATGTCGAAATAAAAGCACTAACGCTGACACATCTCCCCCCCGCCAGCAGAACACATCCAGCTCATTGCACTCCCCAAGTTGCGGTAATTGATCAGATCACTGCTGAGCTTCTTTGTGACTTTCACAGCAAGGTGACTGCGGTGGTGCTGAGCGGACAGCGCCTTCACAGCCTCCTCTGTTGCTGCCTACAGACTCACCTCCTTCACACCGACGCTCAGTAACGACACAGCTCTTTGTCTCAGCACAAAGATGCTCCCCAGATCAGGAACTTTCCCTTTCCTCCATGCACTGCTGATGAAGAAAAATACACCCACAGCCTGAAGGGAGGCAAACGCTGCTTTCTGTGCTGCGTGGTTAAACAAAAAAAATGAGAGTCAGAGATGAGAGGACGACAAGCCTCCTAAAAAACGCCCAAACTGCCTGTTTATTCACACCGTGCCCAGCTCTCCTCTCAGATCACATGTAGCATGCCCAGTGGACCCTGCGTTTGTTAAACCCCGCTGTCAAGTCCTCAAATTAAAGCTGTTGCAGCAGGTGTCATTGCTGCCCAATTTTTCTCACTTAACGTCGTCGCTCGGAGGGTTATGGTCGGTGGACGTCTGTCACAGTCAGGAGGGACTTATCGCATGCACAGCTGGTTGGAGAAGGTGTGACCCTGGAGCCATGCACGCGCAGATCCGCCCATACCATCAAAAGAGTCTGATCATAATGTTTCCTTATACAGTAGCTCCGTGATTTATGGATGTGAGATGCAGACCCGTGTTGAAAGTCTGCATGTGCAGGTCGCTGCACCAACTGTGGAAATATTTTGAAGCAAAAAGTTGAGAAAATTATTTTTGTTTTTGCACAACTCTTTTGTGTTGCCTGGTCTGTAGCTTGTAATCGTTAGCCTCCACCTGTGTTTAAAGTGCCAGCAGAGGGCGCCCTTAGTCACTTAGTCATTTGTACTCCCCTTTTGTATGCCTGTTAAATAAAAAATATGAAACACAAGCAAAGTGATGGAAGAAGTACTCAGATTTCTAACTTAGTAAAAGTAACAATACTACATTGAAAAGTAATTTGTTACAAGTACAATTCCTGCACTCAAAATCTTACTTAAGTAAAAGTTAAAAAGTATCAGCATCAAAGCAAATTTAAAGTAGCAAAAAAATGCTCCTTATGCTTAATGGCCAATTTCAGAATCTAAATATATTGAGTTACCCCATTATTATTATTGTTTTTTTTTTTTACAGCTGGTAAAGGTAGAGCTAATTTGAATAACTGTATACTGCTGCTGGATATATTAACCTATAAAGTCAAAGTTGATTTAATAATTGATTTTGTTTTTTTATTAGCTAATAATTTAAACCTAAAAGGTCAAACCTGTCAAATAAGTTTTGTGTAGTAAAAAGTTCAATATTGGCTTCTAAAATGTAGTTGAGAAGAAGTAAAATAGTAAGCTGAAAATACTCAGGTAAACTACAAGTACCTCAAAATGATGCTTTACTTGAGTAAATGTACTTTCTATCCACCACTCCATAACCATAAGGGGACAACATTTGAATGTTTTTTGTAAAATGAGTCATTACATCAGATTTTTCTTATGAAATAAAATCCTGTGCCAAGATGTCTTATTTCTATACATATTTGATGTCGATTTTGTCTTTTAAAACTGGTTTAATAATTCAAATGGACTGTGGATTTCACTTCCTTCCTTTCTTTCTGTCCACTCATTCCCCCATTGAGAGTCAAGGGAGGTTTTGTCCTATTCTCACCATAACCCATTTTTAAAGTTGCAGAGGAACAAAGTAGGGCTCTCAGTGTTGTTCCCTCTGCCTTCTTCTCCTCCTGTCCTCTTCCCTCGGTGGGCAGTTCCCGGTCTCGGTTTTCAATCTTCATTATCAAGGAGGAGTTAGCAACACAGAGGCGCTTATACCCAGCCGGCCTGAATAAAACCTGGCAGAGACAGAGACTGTGTGATCCGGGACAGTAGACTGACCTCACAGTGTGTTTGATTTGCAAAAGGACGAATTGGTAAAAACTGGCAACATGGTTGTGGCAGGCTGCACGAAATGCATCAAATACATGTTATTTTTCTTTAACTTTATTTTCTGGGTGAGTTGAACATATTTTACTTTGGATTTCTATTCTGTTTGTTCTTTTATTGTCTGAGTTGCTTTCTTTTAACTTGTTCTGTTCTCCCTGTTAAGGCTAATAGTCTATTAAGCTCAGAGTTTAAGGTTAATAAATGATACATTCTGGAGAGTTTCCTGCCCTGCTGTACTAATTATGCTGATGTGACATTCAGCATCAATAGGAGAGGCACAGCACAAACCTTGTCCAGGCTGGAGTGGTAACGCGCTTCATCAGAAACGTATTTTCTGCATGACCGAGTGGCAGGGCAAGGTGGCTGAGATCAGCACTTCACACTGGTTGGGCTTCAGTCTGTCACTGCTGGGATAAAACAGTTTTTTTCCTCACATTAACTCTGCTTTAGATCAATCGTTTCAGTTCATTAACTTGTGTTCATATTATTGAAACACTCCAAACACTGATTTCTGAAGTTGTTTCCGATGAAACACTGAACTAAACTTCCTTCAATATTGGACCGTTTCTTGTTTTTTAACTAAGTCTTGTTCTCCTCAGACATGTGAAGAGGGAGATTGAACAGGACTAAAAGGGCTTCTGGGGGAGGGGGGCGGCTGTTTTTCCTCTTGTCATTTCCTTTGTTCCTACCTGGTCACCAGACTCATTTAGTGCCTTTGAAGCTTTTAAAGAGCTCAGGAAACACCTCCTGCATTGGTGTATTTTTTATTTATTTGTTGTTTTGACCATCCAGATTGATCTGAGATTTGTTTTCTAAAAAGTTATGTCACCAACAAGGGACTTGCCACAGTTGTTCCTAATGCATGTCTGTATTTTACACTTCGTTACATCATATCAGACTTCCTGCAGATGTTAACTTCACCCTTTACCCACTGAATGGATCACTTGTTTGTGAATTTCCATTTGAGTTTGCCCGTACAGAACAGTCGTCTTTTTTTAGACAAGTCACCATATCCTGGACATGCCGCACTTGATGGAGTGTTTCCTCTGTTGGTTTTGCCGCTGTGCCTGTCATTGTGAAAACCATGAGCCCTCTCTTCCTTGTTTTGCTATTTTTCATGTCGAGGATTGAGTTTCCTGTTTCTTTGAGAACAATGGAGTGCAGAATAAATGTGCAGATATGTCTTGATATAAACATAGAAGAAATCGACAGCATGTGAACAATATATGGCCCTGATCCTTCAGTAGTTATGCTCCATCAGCTTTTACAAGATAACAGTTTATCAGGATGTTTCTGCCTTAATGGATGTGAAGTAGAGGAGAGATCAAGAGGGATACAGTTGAACAACAAAGTTCTTGAGTTGGTTTAAACAATGTGGTGCTGACGTGGTCTGTGCTGTAGGTCAGCGAGGTGTCAGGATGTCCTCTCATCACTAGAGGACAGTTCACTGCTGAACACAGAGACGCTTTAGCAGAAAGGTTTGAACACTGATTTGATCTTAGGAGAGTCAGGCCTTGTACGTTCTCTCTTGATGGGTCTTTTTTTCAAGTCTAAAAAATTGATAACTACAGGTTGGTTTTAATATTCATGCTAACGTCTCTCTTGAATATCAAAGTGAAGAAACATGAAAGAAAATCAATTAAAACCTTCTCTCTCTTTGGGACAGCTGGCCGGAGGTGTGATCTTAGCAGTGGCCCTGTGGCTCCGCCATGACAGTCAGACCAGCAACCTCCTCATCCTGCAGTTTGAAGGCCAACAGGCTCCGGGCACCTTCTACATCAGTGAGTATTCAACACCCCGAGAAACGCATCACAACCACTCCAAACACGAGAAGAAGTTTCTCTTTTCACCCTCACATCAACGTTCAACCTTCCATTACTTTATTCATTTTTAATGTTGGGAAAGCTGTTCATATTTACCACTTCAATTTGAAATGTTCACTGAGTGGAGTACCAGGTTAGAGAAACAAACAGGGTGCAACAAAATAAACAACGTCTTTTAAAATATAACAGTCAACTACAACAGAACATTAAAAGAATACCATACATGTAAACTCCTCCTAACATTACTGGATTCAAGTCCTTACAAGATAAGTGTTTACTTCAGGGCTACTATATGCAGCCTCCTGTGACTTGCCTGGTCACCTTCCTACTTCCTTCCTATTTCCTCAGAAGCGTGTGTCCTCTGTGAGACACTAGATATGCTTCCTTGCAAGGTCCTTGGTAATTATGTCCTTGTTCCTTGTCGTCAGGAAGCTCACTGTTACCAGAGTGATGCAATTTACCTAATTGACAGAAAATACCTGTCTTTCACACTCAGCTGGATCCAGTCCACAAATAGTAACAGTGGTGTGACGTCTGAGAGAAGACCAGGAGACAGGACCTGCGTAGAGGTATCACCTCAGTGTTTTTACTCAGCTGTCCCTCCGATCACTGCATACTGTAGGTGATGTTCTCTAACTCAGATACAAAAATATGTTTATGACTTCAGCTTCAAACTCCTTTCTTGAGAGAGGGCCAGATGTTTCAGACAGATGTTGAGACATGTGGGCTCTTGTGCATAAACAAAGCTTTTATGTGCCTACTGTCGCTCGCACTTTAAACTATCTGAACCTGAGGAATTCTAAGAGGTTCTGTATTAATACATGTTTTGATGTCTTTGTAAACTAATTCAGGGATTTGGGCCTCAGATTTTGGCTCACATCATGTATTAAAGTCATAAATCATCATCATGTTTCCTTTGCTGCCAGACTTTGGCCCTAAAACCTGCAATACACGATGTGAACATATCAAAGGTCCCTCATCTCGGTGTATTGTGGTGGTGAACTCTAGTGAGCCCATTAATTTACATTTGGGCTCCTGCTGCACTCCCATACTTACCCCTCAGTAAGTATACAGAGCGAATGCGAGCCCGTGCTTTTTATAGAGGAATAGCACACTCGTGATTTTAAAGGCAGGGCGGCAAGAGAGGCCCACCCAGACGAGATCAAGGGACTGTTTCTTTTTTTTTTAACCCTCCCTTGAACATACGCCCTTGAATAATTCAAATAACCTTGTACATCTGCACATTGCCCTTCAAATTAGAGTTTGGAGTGGATGTTTTTAGCACACTGGCACACCAAAGTGGTATTTATGTAAGGCTGAAAATATACATACTCCCACCTCTTAACCAGCGGCTGAAATCGGTGGCAGTTGTCAGGAGTCTGGTGGGGTTAGGGCTCCAGCCGCTCAAACTCTAGGAGCTGCAGAAAGGCTGACAGATTTTGTTACACAAGCTCTTTCAGTACCTTACACTGTATGTGTAATGCAGAGCCTCGGCCTGAAGGACTTTTCTGCAATATTTCATAGCCCAAAGTGCTAAACTAGAAGGATGCAGTGTGAGGAAACAGTTTGACAGAAAAATGTTGTGTGTCTTTGTACACAAAAGCAAAACATTACTCTGAAGTCTCACAGATACTGGAACAAGCTTAATCCAAACATGACATTTCTAACATCTCCCACATGGAAATGGCAATAAACAAAGACATTTGGGGTTTTAAAGTCATATATGTTGCCTCGTTAGCTTAATGTATCAATAAAAAAGCTGTATATTAAAATTCAAACAGCTGTACTCTGATTCTCTCTCATTTCATGCAACTGCTTTCCCTGTCTTTACATCAACTGACACTTTACTGATTCCTACTCTTTAACTTGAAGTACTTTACCTCATATCTAAAGAAAAGGTTCATATTTATGAAAATGTGCTTATTCGCTTTACTGTCAAGAAATTAATGAGGAGTATTCCACTCTCATGTTTGTACTTTAAACCTTAAAAGTAAAACAACGTTGACACAAAGAAAATGTTCTTGTATGATAAATGTGTCACCATTTGTCATAGTTTCAGAGTAATATGTCGGTAGTTGGTTGGACATTTGGTACTTGCCGTCATTCAAATAAATTAAATCAGCTTAAAGTAAATGTTTGGTTGTTGTTCTGACTTGTTCCCATTCTGTAGTTAATTTTTCCAATTAGTCCCAAACCACATGAATGCAGCAAAAACGCCCATATCTTGCAATGGTTAGAAAATCAGAAATGATTAAAGTATCTGTCATGTGTTTTGGATTCGCTCCAAAATGTAATTGGTGCTTGCTTAGCCAATGCTGCACCATCCCACCAAGTTTCATGAAATCTGGCCTGTATTTTATTTTCTGTCATCCGGCCTAAAACATAATGTACTTGGCAGAGATAAAAACGTTTGTCTATTCCTTTAAGCTATAGAAGCGTTACTGCTACAAAGCAACTATTTACAGTACACATTCTTCAATGATGTCTGAGTTGTCAATGGGTTAAACTTTAAAGACACAGTAAGGTGGGCTATAGACATACTGTAGCTTTAACTGAGAGTATATTCGCTGCAGGAAGTCAACTGTGTCAACAGGAAATGCATATATGGAGCCTTTTTTATATATTTAATCTTCTACTCAACATGTATTCAGTGACACACAGTATGATTGTGTTCATCTTAGTTCATTGGTGTCATGCTCTGACAGTGTGAACAAGACTCCTGGCTCTTTGTTTAAGATACTGGATGAGAAAAGTCCGAGCGGTGCTTTTAGATGGTCCTAACCTCCCCCTCTTCCCCCTCGAGATTACACTGGGAAACAAGAAATAAATGAACTTCCCCAGTGGAATAAGATTGCCCGTCTCCCTGAAAGTCCCTATGGCCTTCAAACCTCAAAGGGTGTTGTCATAGTAATGGCAGGCAGTGGAAATAATGGCTGCTTTGCCGCATTGCTGGGTAACTGGCCCTGGTAGCCGTTTCTCACTACAACAAAACCTGAGAGAGAAAGAGAGGAGGGGGATAAAGCAGGAGGGGTGTTGATTAGAGACATACAGAGTTGAAAGTGTAGATGTAGGTGATGTGTGCGGTACAGCAGGAGTCAGGATCTCTTCCCGGGCCTGTCTGTCGCTCTCTGTCAGGATACTTTAGAGCCTGCGTGTGTTTCGTTCGCCTGTGAGTAAGTATAGAAACCCAGAAACAGACCCCCCCCCCCCCCCCGCGCACCGTCTTCCTAAAAGTATCCACATCCTTCACTTGAGTCATAGCAACGATACTTTACCTACTGTCAGGTAGTTATTTGGGGGAATGAAACTGCTGCAACATAAATGTATATTCATAGTTTTCTCCAATCCTGCTTTTTTATGTGAAATATTGATTATCTAAATGATATCAAGTGATGAGAGGAAATACGAGATAAAAGGCCCCGACTAGCTTTCATGTAAGAGGCCAACATTGTTAGAACCAATCTAATCTTTAACAATGTATTTTGTAATTCTATTTTTTTGTACTTATGTTGATTTTATTTTTGTAAAAACCAAACCCCTGTGCATTATCAGAAGGAAATGTAAGACCTGTTTTAATCATGTGTGTTTTATTGTAGAGAGATATTAGTTTATAAGCTTTAATCATTGTTTTTTTTTAATTATTTTTGTAAAAGGCTCCATTTTTGTAAATAATGTGTTTATTTAATTGATCAGTCCTACTTTTATTTATTTATTTTTACACTTTTTTATTTCTGTGTGAACAATAGCGGCCTTTACTTGAAATTGAAAAGTAACTAGTGAAGTAAGAAATAACTCGAAAATGTCCACATCTCAAATTTGTACATGAATCTGAACACATTTGATTATCTGTCACCGCTGGCCGTAGGGATTTTACATTTAATGAGTTTTAATGTTCAAGGTGTGAGGTTGCTGCGTCATTAGATTATTCAAAGCAAACTGTAACCGCTCTGAAACTTCATCACCTTCAGGTAATTTATTCATGCAGGTTATTGATTGTATTAATTCCTTTTGGAGCAGAGCCAGCCAACCTCTAACCTCACTGCACCAAAAGAAAAAGATCAGAGGAGTTAGTCATTTGGTCTCTTAATATATGCAACAGTCTGCAGTCTTTACAGCAGTTGACAACACATTTCACATGTTTCCCATCTGCAGGAAATTAGATATAAATAGCCACTAATGAATTCCTTCATGTCACCAAGTGCGTCCTTGTTCTACAACAGATATTTCATTCCAGCTTGACTCCGTCCTGAACGTTTTCCTTTAAGTGTAAACATAATCCAGACCTCTGCTGTAACTGGAGCTTTATTTCTCTTCATTGACTTTTTCCTGCAACATGACTACCTGAACTGGAGCTTGTTGCACACGGCTGTGCCTTTTAAAGTCATGGAAACTGTATTTTTGTCATCACTATGTATAACAGCCAAAACATCGCTCAACCTCCGAGTGTAAATGTGTTTACACTTCTCTTTATTTCAGTTTAATCACACCATGATGAGCGTGTATACGTGGGTGGGCGACTGTATATTCACGTGGGTCCCCCTCTTTCCTGGGGAAGAATAATGCTTGGGGGCAGAGGTCACAGCAGAGGGGGTTGTGGGTAAGGCATTTCGTGGCCTGACAGCTGAACAGAGTCAGCTCTTACTCAGTATCCTGGGGTCGTTTTGCTTCAGGATGTCGATAGTGTCATGTCATCCTACAGGGAAGGCAAGGAAATCATGCAGGAAGTCCATTACCAAACAAAACTTGGATCAATGATCAGCACACTGCTCTGACACTGCTGCCCCCTAGTGGTGCTGAGGACACATTGCCGCCATGATGAGATACATTTATTTTACATTATTATGTTTCTGTGTTTCCAGGTGTGTACATACTGATAGCTGTGGGGGCTGTGATGATGCTTGTGGGCTTCCTCGGTTGTTACGGTGCCATTCAGGAATCTCAGTGCCTGTTGGGGACTGTGAGTATTTCTCTTTTATCCAGCAGGAAATTGTTGTTTTTGTTTAAATAAATAATCTTTTCCCCTTTATTTTCTTTCTTTAGTTCTTCTTCTTTTTGATTATCCTCTTCGCTTGTGAAGTGGCTGCAGCGATGTGGGGTTTCATGAACAAGGACACGGTAAGCAACACAAACTCCACTGAATCTTTGATGTATCCATTGATTTTCCACCTCTGCGCTCCTGTGAACCTGCTCTGTTTGTTTTCCTGTCTCTGACACTCAGATCTCTAAGGAACTGATCAATTTCTACGACTCTGCATACATCAAAGCTGTGGACGTCTCCGGCTCTCCCAGCAAAGACTCTGCCATCAAGGTGCTGGAGGTTTTCCACTCTACGGTACGTCACTCAACATCACTTTACGGATATTTTGTAACATGTATAAGTGAAATTATTATTTTGATCATGCTATATGTTCCTATGTCTCCCCTTCAGCTCGACTGCTGCGGTAAAGGAGACGACACCGCTCTGTTCAAACAAGTCGTCGGCACCTTGTGTCCCAGAAAGACTCAGGAAGATTTTCTGAAATCTCAGGTATGCTTAAAACATTTTCACAATACCTGGTACAGAAATGGTTTTCGTTGGTGAATGTCTACCCTCCCGGAAATACATTTCACGTTTATTTATTAGCAACTTTAGAAAGAGATACATTTATGGTTTTGTGAAATAGCAAGGATCTGGTTGGTTGAAAAAGGGAAAATATGTTGATTACCTTTAATGTAGTAGTAGTAGTAGTAGTAGTAGTAGTAGTAGTAGTAGTAGTAGTAGTAGTAGTAGTAGTAGTAGTAGTAGTAGTAGTAGTAGTAGTAGTAGTAGTAGTAGTAGTAGTATCGTGGCCAATAATAAAATATCAACTTATGAAACAATTTGACAATTTTTTCCAGTTAGTTTACTATAAATAAATCTTCAGGAAGAACAAACTAGGCAATGTTTTAAATGCATAAGCAGTACTGCTCTTTGGCCATATTGTTTTTTTTTACACTGTCTGATATTTAATTCACTATAGTTGCCAAGAATAGAAATTCCTTTCTGATTAGTTTATTGATTAGTTTTGTCCATTTACATTTCCAGAAGATGTTCTACACATCAAATATTTTGATTATTATGCAAAAATTAGATAACTTTACACAGTGCAAATGGCCTAATTTGACACTGTGTTAATGTTGTATTATTTTAATACATACCGAAATATGAACATTATGATCCAGTGTTAAAAATAAAAACTCAGCATTTACCTCAAGACTGTCACAAATGTATTTATTTTAATGTTATTGTCAACAATGTTTATATGATGCTGAAAGTTGGAACAGATACAGAGATTATTATTAAGCAGTTACACGTATTGACATGAATGTTTAAAAAGACAACTGTTCACAACTACTTTATTTGCTTTATGTAAATAATCTTACAGTAATATAAAAGATAACAGAACACTTCACATTTCACTCAAAACATCACATTTTTCCTGCCTATGTATTCTTGGTAAATGTAACCCCGTATTGAGTTGGAGCTATATTCAACCAAAAGCAGCAAAGCAAGACTTTTATCCTTTTCCACTCCTGGCTTCTATTTATGTTTCTTATAGATAACATAATTATTACATCATTAATTATTCAGAGTCATGCGGTCAGAAGCTGCTGAAATTCAGCCCATTGTTTTGACAGCAGACGCAGCTCTCCATTACATGGGCTCCCGTACAGTGTGTGTACAGTGTGAGGGGTAAACACTTGTCATTTATCCGAGTGTCACGCTCAACTTTTTTATTTCTGTGTCCTCCCAGAGCTGTCACTATAAGCTGATCGAGCTGTTCTCAGAGAAGCTCTACCTGATCGGTCTGGCTGCCTTGGTGGTTGCTGTTATCATGGTGAGTGTCAGACTGGACATGTGACGGATATTTCACACAGCTGCAGTGTGAAAAGGCTCAGATCATGGCCAACGTCCCTGAAACATTACTGCTTTTATCAGCTTTGATCAGGTCGTAGTTTATTATTTAAACTAATCAATCATTTGATCCAAATATCAGCTGTTTTGATATTCGTTAAAGTAATTTTAAAAGCAGAAATTGCTATTTTCATCCTCTCAAATATGGATATTTTCATACTTTTTGTTTTATATCATATTAAATTGAATATCTTTGGTTTTTTGACTGATAAGACATTTATACACATCGCCCTGGACTGTGTAAACTTGAATGGACCTTTTTCAATATTTTCTGACATTTTATAGATTAAATTAATTAATTCTTATTAAAAGAATAAATGAATCCAGAAAATAATTGGCATATTCATCATTAGTGGAAATAATCATCTATTGAAGCCCTAAAGGTTAAACCTTGTGAATTAAGTCATTCTGTCCTTTTCCCATGTAGATCTTCGAGATGATCTTCACCATGGTGCTGTGCTGCGGCATCCGGAACAGCCCGGGGGTTTATTAGAAGTCCATCCAACAGGCAACATCAGCCTTAATGGGATTCTTTATCATTTGTTCTATGCATCACCTCCTCCTCCTTATGAATATGACACGACAAGATGGATACCTCTCTTTTTTTATTCTAGATTAGAAAATACAACTTGCTTTTAATATTTCTTATCCATCGAAACTCACATTTTCTACTTAATAATGTAGCTTCTCTAAGTCAGATGTTCTTAATTTATCACACAACGATTCATATTAATCTTTTATATGTACGGTATGTTGTGAAATATTTCGATGAGGTCATAATGCTGTTTTTACGGATGTATAAATTGTATATATACTTGTCGTATGTTAATAACACTAAGGAGGGTGCATGTATTCCCTGATTGATTGTTTGTTAGAATATAATTTGAGCTCATGTACCGTCTTACTCTAATGATTTTCAGGAAGTTAACCTGTGAGTTTTTTAGTTGACTGTCTCTTCCTTGTGTCTAGTGAACCATCTTCATACTTGTGAAACACCCGTCCTTAAATAAACAGTCTTCTTACTCAACCTGTTTTTTAATAATGCGAATAAATTGTCATTTTTATTTTCCTTGCTGAAGTACACACATTGGTTTTTCACAGGGTTTCATTTTGCTTGTGACTCCGAAAGATGAAGCAAATTCTTTTTTTACATCTACAAAATGAAATACACATAATCAGAGAGGAAATTAAACTTCTCAGATTATCTAATTCTAATCATTTTAAAGGCATATGGGGCAAAACTATGAAAAGAGGGAGCAAGGAAAAGAGAAAAAGAAGGAGAAGAGAGAAGAGAAGCTCCCTCTTGTGGGAACTTTGGAATTTAAGCCTTTCCAGACCATTTACATGCGCAAGAAAGGGACAACCCAAAAGAGCATAATAGGGCCCTTTAAACCTTCACAAAGGCCTTGAGTATGTTGCCGTGTGTCACCACAGGGGGGCAGTGAGTGTCATATCAACGCCCTTCTTGCTCAATCAGCACAACATTTCTCCCAGCAGCACATTTGAATATTATAAACACTCAACAGACTTGTATTTCTGGCCTTGTGGCATCGCATCGGACACACCCAGCACACTCAGTGTTTGTTCTGCTCACAGGTTCACTTTCTCATCAGAGGTCACACAGCTCTCAGGTACTGAAGATTGAGTTCTAACTAGTATTCAGGATACTCAGAATTAAAGTACATTAACACACAATACACAAAAGCTGAACTTCTCTCGTTTTCTCTTTATCTTCCAGGCTAGACTTAATACCGGTGTATGAAGAAGGATTGAGAACATTTCTTCAGTAAAAGAAGCAAAATGACAGTTTAAAAATAATGTGTTACAAATAAAAGTCCTTAAATCCAAATGTTACCTGGATTAATTATTGTGTTGGTTTTGCACACAATTTAATAATACACAAACAAAACAGATAACAAATAAAAAAGTGCAGGAAGAGGAAAAATCACAATTTTATGTAAAAGACAAGATCAATATGCAAACAATTGCTTCAATTCAATACAAACTAGCATCAAGTAATCCCCATGCATAATGATAATAATAATAATATGTTGTTAATAATAATAATAATAATTATTATTATTTTATTGACATTTTATTGTACATATTAATTTCAATCAATCAATGTTTATTTATATAGCCCAATATCACAAATGTTACATTTGTCTCAGTGGACTTCACAGTTTGTACAGAATATCAGTATGACAATACGACACCCTCTGTCCTTAGACCCTCACATCGTACAAGGAAAAACTTCCAAAGAAAACCCCACAGTTTAAAGGGGAAAATGGGAGAAACCTCAGGGAGAGCAACAGAGGAGGGATCCCTCTCCCAGGACGGACAGACGTGCAATAGATGCCGTGTGTAAATCGAAGAGATAATACATTTGACAGCGTAGGTAGACCAAATGTTTGGAAATGCCTGTGTCTATAATAAGAAGAACATTAATTTAATGTTGGAGCTACAAAAAGCATATTGTGACAGCTCCATGTAGGGTAACATACTTTTGGCAAACAAGAGAAATACATATCTGTTCGTGTATTGCCTGAACAACATATACAAACACAAAATAGTTCCTTTTTTAATATAATATTGACACGTCAGTCCTCTAGCAGGTGTTGAGCTCTGTGCACATTGTCTCATAATCCTTCCACATCTGCTGCCATATTTGCAGATATTTCTTCTTTAAACCTCTGTGAGAGTCTCCTATGTGTATTGGGTGAAGATTTTTAAACATTACTTGACACGTTGTTCTTTTTAGGTTTTTCTCATTTTTGAGTGTCCACATACTTTGCCATGTTGCAAGGTTTCGAAGATTACCAAGTAAATCAGTCAGACAGACAGTTGGATCCTGACACATGCGACAGTTAGAATCAGGGTGTCACTCTCTCTCTCCGATGAAATCACTTTCTTTGACGCACACACGCGAGTCATAAATGATATGTTGCAACATCCTAAAAAAATCAGCACTGATGTTGAATCACACACCATAAATACAATATATTGTCCAAGTTTATAATACATAACCTCCCTAACATTCCCAGAACAGTTATACAGCAGAAAGTAAATATCTTTATGGTAAAAAAAACAAAATTCAACAGTGAAATCAAAGTTTGTGTCCTCTGTGGCAGTCAGACTGTCTGCCCCCCTCCTCTGTACACACCCTGCGGTGACATGCTCTCCGGTGACTCATCTCTTTGTCTTGTGCACGCTCTGCATTTACCTGGGATGGAAAGGAGGATAGTACATTTCAGGGCGGTGACTTTGCGTATTACTTTTAATACTTTCAATTAATCCCACCATATCAGATCTTTCGGTGAGACGAGAAGGAACACTTCACCAGAAAGGAGAGCATCTTCAATCAACGCAACTTCAATGGTTATGGTAAGTCAAAATCTGTGATTTAAAGAAAAAGTGTAGCAAATTAATTAAATCTTTTGGAATCATCAAGTACTAAGTATCAACTACAAACTAAGAACATTTGTCACCATCTCAAACTCAATGAGACATTCGGCGTCTGCGTGTGAAGCTGTGAGTTCTCCTTTTTCCGCTGACTGATTGTTTCCATCAACAAACATTATACATGAGGGTGGAGTCAGACTCTGGAAAGAGTATGAAGAAATTAGTCAAAACAAGAAAGGTGATTTTTTTTCGGGTAAATGAGGATTATAATTGAAATGATAGGCATAGGAAGGTGTCTTCTATACATCTCCTTCTTCATCCAATCCAGTGTAAACCTATCAACTTTGATCTGCTTTGGGGAAATGAAATCCTCTTCTACCTTCGAGGGAAATGTTTGGGAAAGGTTCAGAGAGGTTGCAGTTTAACATTTTCTCCTTAGCTGCACCTAAACAAAGAAAGGCAGTCATGAAGAAGGGCAACAAGAGCATTGATGTGTATTTTGAATTCAATTACAGATGTTTTAACTGGTCCAACAGCAGAGGTGTAAAGTAACTAAGTACATTTACTCAAGTACTGTACTTAAGTACACTTTTAAGGTACTTGTACTTTACTTGAGTATTTCAATGTTTGGCTACTTTGTTCTTCTACTCCACTACAAATCACAGGTCAATCGTTTACTTTTACTCCAATACATTTATCTTAAAGCTTTAGTTACTTTGCAGATTTGGATTTATGATGTGAAATATAATCAACTCTTAAATAAGACTTTAGTTCCACCTGGAGTAAATTCACAAGCTACCCTGCAGTATACAAAGTCGTTAAAACTAGCTGCACCTTTACCAGCTTTGATAAACACTTTATTGATCAATAATTATAATCAAAACATATAATATATATTATTCTGAAATGGGCCATTCTGCATAATGAGTACTTTTACTTGAGTTACTTAAGTGTAATTTTATGCTAATGCTTTTGTACTTTTACTTGAGTAACATTTTGAATGCAGGACTTTTACTTGTAACTGAGTATTCCTACACTCTGGTACTTATTTTTTACTCATTTTTTACTCATTGTTCCCCGGCTCAGAACCAAACACGCCGAAGCTGCTTTTAGTTTTTATGCTCCCCACAAATGGAACAAACTTCCAGAAAACCTGAGGTCTTCACCAACGCTGAGTTCTTTTAAGTCGAGGCTAAAAACACTACTTTTTAGAGCTGCTTACCCAGAAGCCTTTTAACTTGTTTTAGCACTTACCGTATTTACAATGTCGTTTTTAAACAATTTTGTATCTCATTAATGCATTGTTTTTATGAATCTGTTATTCCATTATGTTTATTTATTGTGTTCCTCTCTGTTGTCTTACTATTATGTGTTAATGAACATGTAAAGCACTTTGAATAGCCTCTGCGTCTGAAATGTGCTATATAAATAAACGTACCTTACCTTACCTTCTACTTTTACTTAAGTACAAGATCTGAGTACTTCTCCCATCTCTGTCCAACAGTGACTTTTTCATATAGTCTGTATCTAGACAGGTGTACAGTATACTGCAGGCATTCGGCATGTATCATGTTCTACTCCCACGCTTCATGTTGCTTTCATAACGGCTGTGATGACTCATTGTTGCTAAACTCATATAAAACAAACCAGATAAAACTAAGGTGTAGCTCCATTTTAATAATCGAGTGAGACTGCGCCACACCTGGTAACAGTCCTCCATTCACACTCAACGTCATTTGCAAGATTGAACTCAATCTCAGGCCAGTTTGTGAAAACGTCACAGATAAATCTATCTAATTACTGAGAGCCGAAAGCTTTTCAACTCTGAACACTGAGGCATAGGGTACAAATGTCTGAACTTAACTTTTGCAGTTTGAAAAAAACCAGAGGAATATCTTTAATTCCCAAAATATACCAATAAATGAAACAATGTTTGAAAAACGAAAAAGTCGTTGGAAGGAAAAGTAGCCTGCTCATATATATTTTACGTTAGTCAAAGCAGCAATACTACTGTGTAGAAATACTCTGTTACAAGTTATATTCCCACATTCCAAAAGTGACTTAAGTAAAAGTATTGTAATATTACTGAAGTAGCAAAATCACGCATTAACAAGAATGGCCCATTACAGAATAAAACTATGATTAAATAAAGAAAATGTAGGCATAATGTGGAGGCACCACCAATGTGTCAACTCCATATACGACTGGGAGCTAGTAACTATGCAGTGAAAAAATGAAAAAAAACGAGGGTTTTGAAATTCAACATTAACATTAACAAAAGTAGAAATATAAAATGGCATCAAATGGAAATAGTACCTTAAAATATCTCTTGGTACAGTGCTTGAGTAAAATAACTTTGTTGCTATGCACCACTGTTAATAACAGTGCCGTCACACTGGATGACATGTGGCATCATAGTGTGAATGAATTAGTCACAGAGAGCTGACACAGGCAGGTCTATTCACAGCTGTTTGACCTGGTTCATCCTCACTGACACTTCCTGTTTCACTGTGTTACAAGATGGATCTTTGTTTTACTTTTATTTGTCACATACATGATTGCAATGTATTTAACCTTTAAAAAATAAAGTTAAAATGAAAACATTTTCATATTCATATTTACATTATTGTTATA